CCCTCTCTTCGGACGGAGTTCCACCTTCTACGATTGAACTCTTGGCCAACTGTTTCTTCACCCATCAGCAGTTCACACGCTACAAAGGTCGTACATCTACCTTCACTGCTACCCTCCTCAAAAGGCGTACTGCAAGCCGCTATTTTATCCCTTTTTCTATTNTTCCATTTCCTCAATGCCTATGAGCAATTCTTCTCTTCTCGTCAAGTATGCAAATGATATCATATTCGGACCACCCTACCCCAAATCATCATTTCAAACCACTCTACAAGGAGACGTGTTTGAAATAGTTGAGTGGTTTCAACAAAGGAACCTCCACAAGAACTCCCAAAAATGTAATGATGTAATTTTTTCCTTTTATAAAGGACACAAGTATGATGAATTATCAAACTTCAGTCCGCCTTTATCTAGCCTCAGTGACCAGATGGAACAACAACCGTCTGTCAAATACCTTGGCTTTATTTTCAACCATAACCTCACCTGGTCCGACCACGGTAATGACGTTTTTCTGAAGGTCAGGAGACTCACGTTTTATGTTTTACGTCTTAAATCACTTTCCATTCCAAACAATCTCATAAGGCGTTTTGTTTTTGCGTGCGTTTTGCCTCACTGGTTTTATGGGTCCCCTGTTATCTTCCCTGGTCTTTTTGCCAAGAACCTCAAACTCATTTCCCGATCCCTCAAATTTCTGTCAGTTTGTAGTCTCATACCACGGGAACATCTGGTACAGTATGTAGTGACGCATCACCTCAAGTCCTGTGAAAACATTCTCCAACAAGATTTTCGCTGATATTTGCCATCCTCTTTATTCCGCCCTTAGTCAGTGACTTTCTCACTCATCCACCCGTTCCACTCACAAACACACACTGAAGCTTGCAAACAGTCTATTGTCTCTTATCGCGCTAGATTTCTAACAAACCATGAACTCGGTGCAGGAAATCTGCACAAAACTCTAAACTAAATCAATCATAAACACCTGGGTATGCAATTGGTTTCTGATGTTACTGTCCTTTTTCACGTCTTTTAATTGTTGTTGTATTATACTGTTATTCTTTTCACTTTTTGTTGACACACTGTGGTTATGTGGTCTTATGAGGTGTATAAAGCCATTCCTTGACTTGACTTGAAATCTCTTCGTATTCCTTGCATGCAGATCTTATACGGTGTGCATCCTTTTCTTCCCCCGGATCCCACTATAACTATACGCTAATTGCCTACCGGTATTCTGTGGAGCCTTAATTTACCCGATGTCTTACTAACCCGGAGCGCATCGCTTCTGAACTTAACTCGCTCAGGTCGCAAGTTAAGTTTTGTTTTGGCCTTGTTTTATACAATTCTGGTGTAATTTTACTTGCTTAATTGGTTATAGAATGCGAATTCAAATTATGCCGCAGCTCACTCGCATCGGATGGCACGTGACTGATCAACTTCACTACCGACCCCGCAGCATTGATAAGCCTAATTGTATTGATCTGTGTTTCATCACTTAATCTTATAAATTGTTTCGACATAATTACAATCAACCCGCTTCTGTTCAATGACTTGTGTTCTTCCTAAACCAGGGACATACAAATATAACAGGTTCTACTTTTGTTATTTTGATGCTAAATATTCACCTTTCGGGGTGCATAGAGCATATACCTGACTGACTGACTGCAGCTGACTGACTGACTGACTAACTGACTACTCCATTTCCTTGACTGTTCTGCCTTCTTCTAACTGTTAAGATTTTCATCAACGAAGCAGTATTTATAAACCTCTTACACATGTAGATCTTCCTTACCCAAGTTCGTAACCTGATAGTGTTCTTTATTCTTGATTTTTCAGAGGGATCAAATGCTCTGCAGGACCGAAGAATTGTCACATGATTGTGGTCAAGGTCACTATACCGATCGTGACAACTGACCTCAACTGATATTGATCGGTTTGGCTAAGCAGTTTATTTGCAATCTAACCCGATTTTTACTCGATCGGGAGGTGGTTTATTGTGTCACAGTGAATATCAGCTATTTGTTCTTATCTCTAGTTCGAAGAAAAAGATAACTCAAACCTTTGTAAATTACACCTTAATATTTTCTAAAACAATTTAAAAAAAATAAGTGTTAGATTCGGGAGCATGAATTTGGTTTGAAGCTTTCGTTAGGAGCTCCGGAAATTACGAAGTTTACTAATATGAATAAATTTAACTTAAAAATGTGAATTACGGAAATTGGGCATTAGTATAAGAGAAAAACAAAAGTATAAACTAAACAAGGATTTAGCCAAGCACTCACCTATCATAGACATTTAGCAACCAGTTCAGGGTTAGATCGACACAAACGTTCACCGGATATTTGGTCGGACCGGTTGGATAACCACGTTTCAGCTTATGGGATCCGTGTCGTCCGGAGACTCGAGAGGTAGAAGTTGGCGGGGCACCGCTAGCCGCTGCTGCCAGTTGAACACTCTCTGGTAAACTGGCACTTCGATTACTCTCGTTCAGTGCAGATCCAACGAGATTAGATGCGGTGACGGGACGGCCGGACCCAGTGGGAGTAGCGCGACGGGAAGCTCGCTGCGCTGAGGCAGAACGACGAAATCCACGACCACATTTTGTGATCGATCCACGACCTCTTGGTTCGTCATAATCACGGATCTGGATAGGAAGATATGAGCAAGATGAACAGATATTGTGGTTGTTTTGTGGTGGTGGTGGTGGTGGTGGTGGTGAACTCATTAAAACTAATTTTAAGATGATCTTATTAAAAACTCCAAGAATTCTCTGAAACAAGAAGATCGTTATTTTTTAAATGACACGATAGTTGGAACACCCCAATCACTCGATCCATCCAAATTCTTTTACATCTCAAACATTAATCAGTGTTGATCCTTTTCCTCAGAATCATTTAGTGTTCTTTCGTCTCATTGCCCACCCTGTCGCTCTTTATTTGTCCCGTTAACAGTCGTTTCGATCCGGTTATCGATTTCTGACATAACGAGGCGAGTGCTTGGTTTTCTCACTCTCTGCTGACACGTACCTGGACATGCAGACAGACGCACGCGGATCACCCGTATGACTTCAACCACACGAGATCTCTTGTGACCTACATTGGTTAACCTATGTTCCGTCTGGCCTTGTTCTGTACCGGTTCGCCGCCTATCATCTGTCACTCACTTAACCACCCACCTGTTCTGATGGCGCCTTGGGAGTCACCTGTTCACCTGCACACACACACACACATGCATGCACGCACGCCTGACGTTGTTTATTGAGAGATTGAATTGTGTGCGTCCAACTCTCTTATGATCGGCTCATCCTTTGGAAGCTTCATGTCACTGCCTGACTGGACTTATTTTGTTTGACTCCGTATACTTCGATCACATTCTCTCTTTGACACAGCGGTGAGCTGTCCCCTTTTGAAGCACCTTGATTGTAAGGTGTATTTCGCCACAGCCGAGGGCTGTGAAAAGTTCAGTAGCCTCGGTGGGAATCGAACCCACATGCATGGACGCCGCCTACGCTTTGTACGCGCACGCTCTGCCAGCTGAGCTACGAGGCCACATCGACAGCACTGATCTTTTCACATTCTAACTGGTGGATGCCATATGCCTCTGTAAATTGGACGGGTAATTCGAATGTGAAAAGATCAATGCTATCGGTGTGGCCTCGTAGCTCAGCTGGTAGATCGTGCGTATACAAAGCGTGGGCACCGTCCATGCATGTGGGTTTGATTCCCACCGAGGCCACTGAGTTTTTCACAATCGACATAACAACTTCAAATCTGCAAAACAACCATATTCCTATTTGACACACTTATATCTGGAAGTGCGTTGACGACTGTTCTAACTCAGATACCTTGCAAATCAAGGTTTGTATATTATTTGTCATGTCATTAATGAATTCGCATCACGAGACAATCTTGGTTTTCATTGCATTGGAACCGGGACTTTGCTCGTCACGTGTCGCCAAATTTAACACGGGAAGTCAGTCCGTTCTTATTCCGCAGAAAGGGAGTTAATAATCAGTTTGGATTCAAATGTCTTCGATTCCGCTCTCCTGGTTGCGTTCTGATCGCCCTGTGATTTGGTACACGCGGGGTGACAAGTGCAATTTGTGTTTCATCGGGTATATCCCGGAAAAGTGGGGAGAAAGCCGTAATATAATGAGAAACGATCTGTGGCCTGGAAAGAATAGACTCGATGGTGAACAGATGGACAGAAGAGCATTGTGCAATCACATTGAAATAATGGTGAACACATAAAGATCCAGGAATTTAAGTTTCCCTGAAAATGTGTTTATTCATTTAGTTACTACAAAATGTATTCGAAATTCAAATGATTGTTTTTTCGATAGATTTATTCGTATGGCATAAATTTCGAGCATTTTTTTCGCTCTCTTTCTCTCGCAAACACGTGATTTGTAACACCCAGTAAATTTGTTTGGATAACTCCTTCAGAACCAGTTCATTTCTGACCCAACACTATGATTAGATGTTTTGTAGGTCGGTACAAGGATAAGAATGAACTGACAAAAGGTAACTGGATACTTGTGCCTGATGAGTTGCAAGAAAAGTGAAACCGGTCATGTGCTTCCACGGAATTTTGTTCAAATCATCTCTATACTACTATCATCTCTATACTACTACTACTACTACTACTACTACTACTACTACTACTACTACTACTACTACTACTACTACTACTACTACTACTANACTACTACTTGTTGTAAAATACATAATATTCTCGGTGAAATGTTGAACAAAGCGAGAAATGAAGTGTGACTGGGCGCTTTACGTCATGTATCTGAAAGTGTTAGTTCACTCATTGACTACCAAATATATCTTTTGAAATTCGATTGGTTGTTCTTGATAGGCTAAATGATTTATGATAAATTTCGATAGCGAGTCTCGATTTTGATCTGTTCCTCAGAAACAGAACCGCCGATTTGAAATTGATTAAATGTGTTTATATTTTTCTTTGTATATCATATATACATATATA